TTTCTACAGGCTTCTAATGTGAGGAAAAACACGCGGTGACAAGTGTGGAAAAGAGCAAGCACTAAATTACTGTCAGAAAAATAAACGGCGGAGCGCGGCGCGGGGCGGTGATTTACGGGGGCAATTAGTCACCGCCCCACGGAGCCGCCGGGGCCCCGCAGCAGCCCCGGGGCTGGCCCGCCTCCGGCTCCGGGCCCAGGCCGGCACCCAGCACGGCCATCCAGGGCTCTCCCGCTCCTGCGGCTCATCTTCTGCCTGCTCCAAAAACAGGGGTGTGGGAGGAGAGAGGAGCCACCCCGAAAGCCACAGCATGTTTGCAGAGAAGGTGGGTGTGCCGTGGATCTTCTTACTTGTGGCAAGTAGCTGGTGCCCAGGTGTGGGGTGGTTAAAGAAGTGATAAGGTCTTGTTATATGAAAAATACTCCTGGAGACTGAAGGCTGGAAAGCTGCTGGACTGGGTGAGAGGGTGGAGGTGGCTGCACATCTTAAAGCCTCCCAGTCTTAGAGACTTGTGGCAAGTAGCTGGTGCCCAGGTGTGGGGTGGTTAAAGAAGTGATAAGGTCTTGTTATATGAAAAATACTCCTGGAGACCAAAGGCTGGAAAGAGGTGAGAGGGTGGAGGTGGCTGCACAGCTACTGCACATCTTCTGGAGGTGCTGTGGGCCATTAAAGCCTCCCAGTCTTGGAGGAGGGCCAGCTTTGCTGGCTAGCTGGGAGTGGACATTATAAACCTATTTATATGCTGTTGTTTCACCAGGGTGGAGTCTAGGAGAGATGTTTTAATTTGAAGCTAGCAGCAAAGAAATTATGGGCAATTCAAGCTCTGTCCCAGCCTGGGACCATGACAGTGAGCCCCTAGCCAGCATGTTGTGGAGTTTTGTAACTTTTTGCCCCATGTGTTCTTGTTGACCTAGCAATCCTTACTTAGTTGGTGCCTGTGTGTTAGTTTTCATTTTATAAGGCCTTATTGGCCACCTAGGCCTTATGTGCATGTCCTGAGCAGGGGCAGTGCTATTCGACCTGCCAGCCTGGTGTCTGGCTCCTGCACATAGCTGGCACTGGGATAATGGGAGACAGCCTGTCCGAGCTGGCTGCAGCAGCTGGTGCCAGCCAGCCCTGCCAGGACTGCTGCCAGCAGCAGGAGGAGCGTGCCAGGGCCTGCTCATCAAGCAGCAGACCCATGGCTGCCACCGTGGGACAAAGGGAACGCAGCAGAGCACGTCCCTCTTGACATGGCACCTCTTGGGAAAGACAGGAGTCTGTCTTTTGGAAGAGGATGCAAGCTGGAGGATGAAGGGCTGGCTCTTACAGGTCCTGGTGGTTTCAGTAAGTGGCCCTCTCTCCCTGCTCCACTTTCCCACCTGGTGGGTGGGATGTGGCATCTGCCTTTGGGAAGTATTCAAGACTTAGGAATGATCACAGAGGTAAAGCATCAGTGGTTATTTTGGGGTCTGCCCTAAGCTGCTTCTTCACCTCCTAGAAGTGATTTTTGCAGGATATGGGCGTGTGTGCTCATGAGGTGCTTCTGGTGCTCATTTCCTTGCAAGGTGCAGTCCCACTCCTCCACAAGTTGTTAGGCAGCCTCCTAATAAGTGATGTGACCAGCACATCTCTCGTGTAATTTTCTTTCTCCCACTGGAACAACTGTTTGTTTATGTTCTTCAAATCAGTAATAAATATCTTTAATTCTTATCTATGGTGTGCTTGTTTTCATTACTGACAGGGAGGTCAGAATTCTTCGAGGAGGAATTGGAGAGAGAGACCGTGAACCATCAATGCCATGGGATTTTCTCCCATATATTTCAGACTAGGTCCTAAGAAAGTGCTTAGCACAGTCTTCTGCGCAGACATGCTTGAAACTGGTGAGAGATATTTCTGAAGCTCTGAATGAAAATGTTTTCCCAGCATCACTGGTACGCCCTGGGCATGGCTCTACAGCCGCTCTAAGGACACAGACAACGTTCATGAATCTGACTGCTTCCAGTGGGCAGTCAGCAGGGAGCATGGAGGAAAGGTTTGGTGTGAACACAAATCAAAATAAAAATGCAAGTGGGGATCCTACTTGAAAGCCTGTACAAACACCTCAAAAGTAATTTTTATTTTTTCCATAACCAGTGGATGTTTCTGGGGTACACGTACACACAGAGGCTGGGCTTTAGCCCCATGCCTTATCCAAGCAGTAGCATCTCTGACTCTGAGAGGATGTGCAGAGATCTGGGGCTCCCAGCATTCCTCCAGGGTTGTCTCTGGCACTGTCTATTGTAACTTACCTGAGCCTCTCAGTGACAGGAGTCTCCTGTTCTCTCCTGCTTGTGCTTTCCTACCTGCCAGCTCTTGGATAACTTGCTGCCCCGCTTTGCCACCTTCATGATCCATGCTGCTGGACTTTTAAAGAAAGGGTCAGCCCTGGACCTCCTGCTCTCCAGGTAAACACTGATCCATGGGCTTTCACAGTGGGTGAAGAAGTGGATGCATATCTGTTTTAAAGTCCAGTGCTGCCTGCTCAGAGGATGGCAGCTGGATCCCCAGGGATCAAGGGTGAGGGATCATTTACGTCCTTTTGGGGGCACCAGGGATGCAGAAGCGAATGGAATCCCTGCCACACCATCGAGGGATGGGCTCTCTTGGGACATAACACTAAAGGAGAGTTTAGATTGATAAAGTGAACATATGTGTTGTGCTGGGCTTCAGTTTGGAGGCTGTGGCTCACACTTTGCCACTGTCCCACCTTTGGTGGCTCAGAGGCCCTGTAGCTGCTCTGCTCCTGTGGAATGTGGTGTGCTTGGAGGTTCCACGTGAGGATCTCATAGCAAGGGCAGTGGTTTTGGCCCTTAGAAACCACAGTGACTAATTTTTTTCAAGGGAAGGTCTTGGAAGAGCAACAATCCTAAAGTGACATGAAGCAGGTGAGTATCAACATTTTTTTAATAGTTTATGTCCATTCAAATAATCCCTGTTTGGCAGAGCAGCCACAAGCCAGCACAGGTGCCTTTATTGCAGGATGGCATGATTTGCATGTGTGCCATGTGAACACACTACAAAATTGCTGAGCCATGGTTTTGAGATTAAAATTCAATTTTTTTTAAAATGCAGACATAAGAAGTTCTATAGCCATGTTTGTAACTAAATAGTCATTACTGCTGCTCAAATCAGTTGTCATAACCTACATAATAATTGTTGCCAATTTTTCCCCATTTTTATTTTATATTGAGTACTAAGTGAACAGTAAGGTTCTACATAGCATTCAATGAATCTGGTATTCTGGATGAGTTTGGAAAATAATTCTTCATAATTTTGTTTACTGGCTGCTTTTGTTTACTGGATTGCTGGTTGGTCAGTTAAGCCTCCTCTCCTTGGGGCAGTGCTAGGGCTGTTGTACTGGTGATACTTAGCAAGTCCAGTGGGATGTTGCTGGGGAAGACACAGAAAGGTAAGGTCAAACCTTCTCAACCTTGACAGCAAGTAGCTTCTCTTTGGGGAAAGTGGTTCTTAATGCAGAGGCTGCAGCTTTGCTTCATTTATTCAGACAGTTTTTCTACCTGGCAAACTCCTCCAAACCTGAAGAAGTAGCCAACAACCAAACACTTAAGAGAAATATCAAAATAAAATATTTCTGATAGATTTCATAAAGTATGAGTTATAGCAGAAAAAAATTATTTTGGATTAAATATATTGTATTCAATTTTTCAATCCAGTAATGTATTTTTATTTATCTGAAAAGATTTAAGGTGGCCCAAACTGCTTAGATGGCATGTAGGAAGCATTCCAGTTTGACAGAAGCTTGAATTGATTGCTTTTCTGAGGGAGGGAAAAAAAAGGAGTTTTATTTAAATCAACTTTAAAGCTTTATATTAAAGGGTGAATATTGGTAGCTGGAGAATACGTTCTGCCTTCCCCTCATATTGCAGCTGGACAGCAATAGCCAGCCTTCACTTATTTATTTATTTCCTGCACAGAGGGGAGGAAAATATAGGTCCATGAATCAATCTAGATAATGGGGAAGGCTGAATGTAATAAATAATACAGTAACAACCCTAAACTAATGAGCTGTTGCTAAGGTACATTTCACAGGCTCATCCTCTATATAAAAAGTCACTAATAATCCCTTGGTGTAATCAGATGATAAAGCTTTGCCATAAGGCAACACCTGTGCAATTAAAGCTGTGGATTCTTTTGCACGTTTCATTAATTTCAGGATTTTGTAAAGGCACAATGACTACACTAATAATCTAGTCTACTTGACTCCATGTCTACTGGAAACAGGGTGTCTAATTAGGTAAAGGTAATTAATTAGAGATAAATGGAGCTAATCAGACTCGGTTAACACTAATTCTCTGAATTAAGACATTTTGGGACACCTACTATTCCACTGGCTTTGATGTTTCCCAACAAACACCGAGTTGGAATGGAGTCAGAAACACAAGGTTTATTCTGCCAGCCCAGTCCTGCAGCAGCTCTGGTTAGGGGTCTGTGGGATTCCAGCTGTGCTCCTTCCTGTGCCTCTGTGGGAGAGGCATCCCCTCCTGCTCTGGGGTGTTGGGGCCTTGGTTTGACATCCCTGGGAGCCATTGCTTGTATTTTTCTTGGCTTCTGCCAGGATTTTGCTGATTGTGGTATTTTCCCCACAGCTTCTTCTCTTGATGTGGGGATATTTTTAAAATCCACGGTGTGCTGGTGTTTAGAAGGGCCACCACATCCTCTGCTGTGGACAGCATTCAAAATTCAGAATACTGTGCCTTATTTCAGGGAAGAAAGTAGGATAAAATAATAATAATAAAAAAAACAAATGGCAGCCAATTTAGAAGAAATCTGTATTACTTAGTGAAAGGATCAGGATTTCACTGTGGTCTGTGTATTTGTAACTCTTTGGAGGTCATGAGCTGTTCTGGTGTGGTATCAGGTGCTGCTCATCTTGCTTAGGTAATCAACCACAATTGCATTCAGGTGCCAGCATCTTCAAACCTGGCAGCACTATGGGGCAGAGGAGAATAAATGTGAGTGGGATGAGAAGTGAGCAAGAAATTGAGTTGCTTCAGTCTTGTGGAATTCCTACATGCTGCTATTGCTAGAACTGTGTTAGGAGAGTCCTGTTTTGCCTTTTTTCCACAGGTAAATGTTACTTCCTTGCATGAATTAGAGTGTAATCCTGGTGGCAGATTTGGTGGAAAGATGCTGTGACTGGTAGATGCCTACACTGAAACGATAGCGTTACCACCTCCAGCTTTGTTAGTGTTTGGGGATGGGGCCGTGCTGGGCATGTGGAGCAAGTGCACTTTAGAAGGTATTGCCTCTTGTCTCTGCGTGGTGTTAAGCTACAAAGATGATTTCCCCTCCCCTGTGGACGGTCTGCTCATTTCAGCTATAAAGCACAGCTGATGGAGAGTTCTTCATCTATTGCTTGAGTGCTGGGAGGGGTGGGAAGCACTCTCCCTGCCAGCATCTAAAGAAGACCAGATGCTTTTTTAAACTGGTATTTCTAAAATACCTCAGCTGATGTTGCACAGTGTGGTACATAACTAACAAGAGTGAGCCAGGAATGAGTGCTTGTAGGGTGAGCTATAGCCTGAGGTAAGTCTCCATGAGCTGAGCTACACTGGCCTCAACAGAGGAGATGAAATAGAAATGTCTGAATACTTCTATTACAAGATACTTTTTGGATTGACCTTTCAATAACTTGTTAAACTACAGAAAACATTTCTGTTTTCTAGATGCGAAAAACCTGCTGGGTCACACAGTCCACAAATGCCCCTTTGGATATTTTTAATAGCAGCTTGGTGACTTTGGGCTTTCAGGAGCTGCTGGGGCTTGGGCCCCACTGTTCGAAATAACTTGCATTTCCAAGGATGGACAAAGCCTGGATAACAGTTTCAGGGTAGTGGATACAAGAGAATTGTTGCAACTGCAGCATCCAGAGAAGTGAAATGATTTGGGGTGTGTGCCCCCTGTACACCAGGGAGGCAAAATGCTGCTGTCTGCTGGCTTGGCTGCACCCTGTTAGCGTGGAGGTGGGCCAGAGCCCAGAGGACAGGCTGCAAGCCTTTGGGTGGGGCTGCACAGCAGTGGTGTGGGACTCTAAGCCAAATTTGCCGACAGCAATTTAACCCCTCTTGTGCTTTGAGGTCACCAGTCAGTCTTCAATCACATTTATATTTTTTGTATCATAAGAAATTCAGGGGTTCCAGCACAGCAGGTTTCAATCTAGTTGCTGATGCTGATGCACTTGTCCTCTTGAATATAGCCCTGTCCATTGCCCAGGCATCAAAGCTTTGAGGAGGTCCAGTTCCACACACTGTGCAGGGAAAGGGGGAGATGTCCTGTTTGGGCTGACCACTCTGCACCTGCAGTGCTGAGTGCTTCTCTAGTGAGAAGGTGAGCCAAGTGTCTCGAGTGCCTGGAAGCTCTGAACATGTCAGAGTCTGTTCTGCTTCAGAGGTGAGTCACTGTCCTCCAGTCTGTCCCTCCTTGTCATCTGCAGGCATGGATGAGCAGCTGCTGGTCTTGGATGCCATTGCAGAGTTGCTGGATGTGCACAGACGTGTTCAGGTGAGTGCTAGCTAAAGGATGGGCTTCAGCTCACCTGACTGCACAGCTGCATACAGGCTTTCCCCTCACTGCAGAGAAACGGGCACTGCCATGGTTACTCTGACCCATTTGGGGTTTCTCACTGAAGTCACAGCTCTGTTCCACCAGTGGCTGCTTTCAAAAACTCCCTGGGTGACTTCAGTGTGTGGTCTGCAAGACTGCCTGGGCTGTGTGCTTGGTATGCTGTGGTCTTGAGCAGGTTGGTTGTGGCAGGGGAATGGTTCTGTATCGGGAGTGTGAGTGGGTGTGGAAAGTAAAAATGAGTGAAAAAGGTTGCTGGTTTTTGAACTCGGACATCTCTGCTATCTGCTTTCAGTTTGCTTCATTTCTCTGTGGCTTTGTAAGAACAAGGATATGAAGTAAAGAAAACAAAACCATGTGGCAGGAGAAATAGGATGAGGAAAGTTGAGGCTGAGGAAAGGAGCGAGTGTTGAGGAGGAGCTGGTGCCCGGTGCCAGGGCAGAGCCCGGTGCCAGAGGGATGCACAGCTCGTGTCCCCAGGGCAGTGTGGGGGCTGTGCCCCCCTGCCAGCCCCGGCCCGGTGCCACAGCAGGGCAGAGGGCACCCTGCCCTCAGCTCCCTGCCGAGCCTCTGGCCCTCAGCAGTAGGGTGTGGGACAGCCCTCGCTGTCCTGGCTGGGCTGCAGAGGACTGGTAGGTGAGAAGGGGGATTTAAAATGTTCCTATATTCAAACTAAATGTTTGGTTAACTTCAAGTGTTAAGTAAATACCTTTAACTGGCTAAATGATAAGAGCAGAAAATTCCTTAGTGATGAACTCAGTTCTTCTTTCCTCCGTCATTTTTCATAACAACCTTCCTGCTTGGCCTTTGCTGTTTACGAGAGCTGCATCAAAGCAGTTTCTCCATGGCTCTGGGCTACAGGGAAGTCCATAATGCAGTGTCTTGTCAGGCACTGGAGTTTTCAAACTAGCCTCAGTATTTGTGCCAGGAATGGAACCTCTGTTCTTAAAAGCAGCAGTGAGTTCCCTGTTCTCCCACGGTATGCAGAACCTTCCTGAGCAGCTGCTGCTCAGCACTGCTTCTATTCACACACAAACACTGGCTGTAAACGTCAGATTTGTCAAACAAATACTGTGCTAAAGCTGAAGAATGTGTTGTGCTTTTTGTTGAATGATAGAGGACTGTGTGGAATAAGTTTGGTGTAGAATAACATATTTCATTATGACCCCTGTTACCTTCCTGTAAAGCAAGTCAAAACATTGTGCAGCGTGGGGTTTAACTGCACCACAGTAACAAAATGCTTAATACTTTAAGGAGGGAGTTCTAAAATTTAATAGTTTATTTTATTATTACTCTTTTTGATATAATTAACTAGGCATGCACTTCAAACTCTGTCCTCCTCTCTATTGAAATGTGGTTTTATGTTTCACTATGGGGGGAAAAAGAAGTCTGTCAGACCGTGGGTCTCTCCCTTGATGCACATCATTAGAATCTTTTTAGAGACAAGCAAGCCATTTTGCTGTCATTGGTCTTGCTCAAATAGAGGGTGTTTATCCATGCAGTCCCCTGGGGAAGGGTGTCAGGGAGGGATCTCTGGCCAGCAGCTGACACAGGTACAGCATGCTCATTTGACTCTCCTCCAGTGCTCAGCTTGTATGGTCCTTGTCTCTGCAGCAGCACTCCTTGGACACCTGTCATGACTCCAGGTAATGCCTTTGAGTCTGCTACTCACCTGGGCTGAGGCTGTGTTGAATGATCCCATCAGGGGAAAAGGGAATCTGGGCTGGAGGACCCTGGCAAGGTTGCTGCCTGGGGTTTCACTGTGTCTGGCATTGTCTCCTCAAAGTTTGGCCTTAAAACCCACTCAGCACCTTCTGCTTAACTGCACAGGCTTTTATTCTCATGTAAAGCTAGGCAGGCTGAAGTGTTTGTGTGATAATGCTGAAGAAAATACCTATTTGAGGGTATTATTTGTATTTCCATGCTGAACTTGCAGCTTCATATCAAAGACATCGCATCTCCTTTTACAAAATACCCAAAGTGAGCAGAGTGATCTCCCAAATGTGTGTGTGGTTCTGTGGTGGAGCCACACTGCTACAGCAGACTCACCCCTGTGAAGAGGTGGACAGAATTCCCAGCTTCCTACCACCTGTGTGCCTGGGGCCCATGCCTGTTCCTCTGGTCATGCTGCATGTCCTTTCATGGAGCAGAGTGGCACAAATCTACTTCATTTTATGGAGGCTGAGGCTGGACTCCAGTTACAAAACTGCCCATGAAGCTCACTGTAGTTCTGTCTTGTTTTTTACTAGTCCTTTGGGTGATTCACTTCCCCTCCTTGTATCAACAATCACTAGCTTTCAGACTGATGCAGCTATTTCACAAGTGCCTTTGTCAGCAAATAGCCAGCAAATTCTTTTGGGAAGTATGTTGGGGACCACATCTGGGAAAGCCTTCCCATCTCAGCAGGAATAGTCCCATGAAAACATGGAGGCTGGAGAATGAACGTGGGCAGAGCCTGGAGCACCACCCATATCTTTGAATTGCATGATCTGTAGTGCTTCCGTGGCAGATGGAAGGAGCAGGGAGAGCTCATGTTTGGGGTGGGTGTGTGCCATATGCTGCAGCACTAATAAGGTTTGGGGTGCTGATGCTGTTGCATGTAGTGGGAACTGCTGGTGGCATCAGCTGTGCAGATCCCCGTGGCTAGGAGTTATGGAAGCCTCCAGATCCACATCTATGGCTGCACCAAAGCAGACTCTGCCCGGTGTTGGTGGGTCCCAGAAGGCACTGGTGGTGCTGTGCCTTTGCTTGCAGAGCCTGGCACTTCCTGAGCAGGCATTTGTGGCAGGGCTGGATGAAAGGAGAGGTGCAGGGAGCTGCTCTGTCTGCTCAGACTGGGTTTTGCATGCAGGCTGTACCATCTGAAGCACCAAGAGCTGCACAGGAGGACTTATCCTGTAACTAATTTATCACATGGGACATAAACAGCTGAGGAAATTCTCAAAGAATCCTAAGAATGTGCGTTTTCCTGTCCAGTCTTTTTGCTTTAACAAGGTGTTTTCTGTGTGCAGGCTGTTGAGGCTTAGGCCAGTTTGGATGAGGTTCCTGTGTGTGACCTACCCTGTCCTTAGGCACTGCTCTGAGCCTGGGTGCCAGCCCAGAGCCTGTGCAGGGTGCAGGCTTTTTCAGCACCGATGATGTGATGCTGTTCCACATCACATCCCAGTGGGCTCTTGGGCACTGACTTCACCACCAACCCTGCTGGCAAGGCTCACAAAGCCCTTGGTTGCAAACCCTTTTTTCCCTCCAGCCTCGTGCCAGGTGAGTGCTCGAGGTCTCAGTGCCCACGCTGCCCCTAACGTGGGCTGGATGTGTTTGTTTTATCTGGGCTCTGAGTGCCCTGTCAGCTGCTGCCCAGGGCTCTGCAGGGATCCTCTCCCATCCTGGGCTGGTGCTGGGCTCTGCCCACCTGGCTGCCAGCTCCAGTTCTGCTCAGCCCGTCAGAGCACGACCCTGCAGGGTGACATATGGCAGGAGAGAGGCAGTTTAGGGCAGGCCCAGAAATCAGAGGCAGCGTTGTTACAAGCGGGGCCTTGGCTTCACTGGCACGACATGAAAGACTCTGTTGGTGCCTGCTGGAGCTCGGTCTCCTCTGGCTCTCCTGGCAGCTGCTGCTCCCCACAGCATTTGTAATCCCTGCCACAGTGGCTGCAGAGGAGTTCAGGGCAAAGGATGTGAGTGGAATTAGCAAATTCTTCCATCCACAGCAAAATTCTTAATTGTACTGGATAACGTTTTGGTCAGTTCCTGATTGTGAATTTCCTAGACCCTGTTTGTTGGCTGAAAAAGTTGAAACATTTTGGTGTTTCATATTTAATGGTACTTAAAAGCAGTCACAGATACACAGCAGTCTGGAGATGCTTTATTTGCTCATTTCCAATAGAGAGCTTTCTGTCCTCTTCTTTGTTTCACTGAGAAAATTATAAACTTTTTCTAAGATTTTTTTTCTGCTTGTTAAGGAGTAAAGGCCACCAGTTCTGGTCTCTTACCAGGATTTTTTTAGATTATTTATTTTGTGAATGACCACAAGTGATATGGTGGCTGGTGAGGGTGGCACAGCCACACTGCTGGTTGGCTGCTACAGCCAGGGACATCTAAAGTGGCTGGATGGGACAATGTGGAAGCTGAGTAACCTCTTGAGGGCTTTTGCTAGAAGCTGTGGCACTTGTGGTCTGGGTGCAATCTCCCTCATCTTTCTTCAAATTCCATTGTTCAGGAAAGCAAAAAAATGACTCGCATTATGAGAGAGATTGTTTCAATACACATAATTTGAGAGTTGAAAAATTGGAACGCTAAGTTTAAAGGTTTATTATAATGCTCAAAATAATGCCTGAGATGTTCACCCAGACATTATCTTAGAATAAATCATACAGAATTATAAAGTTTAAAGAAATATGTCTAAGTGCATGTCAGTGATATGATAGTGAGAGATTTGGCTCCTTGTCCCTTCATTAAGGACAAATTCACCCCGAGGGCATAGTCTGATCTTGGCAAATAGTGTTATAATAGCAAAAGAATATTGCCTGCTGGATAGCAGACATTGATGATTAAATTTAAGTGTGTATTGTCCATATAAAGTAAACAACATGCCTTTTTTTCCTGCTTTTTGTGAACATTCATCACTGGTGCTGAAGATGGAAGATGTGGGCTTGCTAATTATTGTGTTTTTAACTGATAATATACTGTAAATTTTGTATAATACAACTGTGACCTTATAGACAATGCAAGACATGACAGCAGGCCCATAATTATAGCATGCTGAAGAAATGCTTGTTATTATCTACTATTTTTAGGAGCAGTGTGCAGAGCCTCTTAATTTACATAAGCTTTAGACATTCACACATTTTCTGTCTTTGCTTATGGATGATAAATTTTGTTCAAATGAAAGATGAAGACGTTGTGTTAGGTGAGAGGTTAGCCAACTGGGAACTTGATTACTG